TCAATTCAAATTCATCATATCTAAAGAATTAATCTTTTAATAAAAAATAATAATATACCATTATCTGGAAAATATTTAACAGTACTAAAAATATCACTAAAACTCATTTATCCAATAACTTTTTACATTATTTATTTACATCCAGAATAGTAATTAAGAATACTTACTGATGGTTATAATGATTCACTTAAACCTATATTTTCAAAATCACTTCTTAATTAAATAAGACTGTTAATTTTCATCTAAATATCATTAAGCATTTTTTCAGTCTATTATTCTTATATCTCTTTAAGATTATCTAATTATGTTAAAATCTCTTTCTCTTTATTTTGAATCACTTAATATAATGATTAAAATTATTCTTATACTCTTTAAATTAAATAATCCATCTCTTCTTATAAAGTAGAATCTTAATCTTAAACTCTTTTTAATTGTAATTGCATTAATTCTAAAGATGCCCCTATTGTATGTGTTGCATCATTCATTTTACTTTTTAATCTCTTTAAACAACTATTAACATTTTATATTTCATGTGTTTTATTATCATGTCTCAATAAACATTTAATACAAAAACACTTATTTTCACATGTAAAACAAAATAATGTTGCATCTTCTTTAGTATGAATATCACATTTTGGTTATGGTATTGGCTATATAATAGTTTAACTTTATTAGAGTGGTTTATCTTCTTTAATTTAATTTTAATCTTCACGAACCTTTTCAAGACTAGTTTGAATCAATTGATGACAGATACTCTCAACTACTGATACTGATCCATCATCTAAAGGTGTGTCTTTTTCACATACTGTACATATATAATGAATATTATCTGTTCCTTCTAATTTGAAGATTCTTCCACCCTATTATTTTAAATTAAAATACTTTCAAAAAGTTTTAAGCCATACATATTAAACAGAAACAATGATTACAATTTAGACTTAAGTAATTATCTGGTACTTATTTACATTAATCACATGCAACAATCTCTTCTTCTGACATGAATTAACTGTTAAAATAATTAATTAGCGGAATTATTGCTTCAATAAAATTTCTGTTAATTATTAATCAAGAATTGTGTAAGTAAATTTCTACATTAGAAGTGATCATAATATAATATTCTATATATATATATATATAATTGAAATTTAGAATCAATATTTAGATCAATTTAATCTATCAGATAAAAATCCACTCAATTTTTATTCTTCTACTTATTTGTACATACTTATACATCCTTTAATATTTGCAGATTTATTTGTAAGTAGAGTTTTTAATTATTATCGACTACGTTCAGTTGTAGAAAATGTATTAACAAATAATTTTTAAGCTAATTATTATCTATATTATTATTTCTCTTCTTCTGTAGAATTCTTTGTCAATGTTTTAATTTCATGTCTAGGAGATTTAGCTAATTAAGTATTTTTTATCAAATCTTCTGGAGATTAATGTAATTATCTTCTTAATTTAGCTAAAGGATTTTCAATTTATTATGTTTGTTATTAAGGTAATAATTTCTTTTAAATTTCATTTGAATAAGAAATCAGTTATTTTTTAAATCCTTCATTTGGATTTACACAGGGTCTTTTAGATTTAACAAATTTAAGTGTTTTCTCAAATACCCATTTATTTTGATACATTAAATAAGCAATTACACATGTTGCTGATCTAGATATACCAGCCATACAATGTACTAATACAGATCCAATTTTCATAGCTTCTTCTATTTCTTCATTAGTCATTTCGATCAGTTCTTAAATAGTTACATTTTCTTTATCATGAATTTTAAATACCTAATAATATTGATAAATTTTACTTTATGGATAATTTTCTAATGTTTAGGATAGCTTAAATTAACATTATTAGCTACTGTAATGACAGTACGTATATTTTCCTTACTTAGATTTATAATATTCTAAGCAGACTTTATATTACCTAACCATAAAGCTCCATTAGTTTTTGTAGATGGCAATATCAAATCCATTTCATTGATGTGCATATACATAGATAATAACAAGATTTAATATAAAAATATGGTTATTTAATTTATAAATCATGTGAATTTACTTATCCATAATTAGAAAGTCTTAGTATGTTATTCAGTATTAAGTTTTATAATATATAATCTTTAAAGTTATCTATGATAAACATAATAAGGAGAAGTAAGTAATTATCTAAGATTTTATAAATAATGTAAGCATCTTTAAATTGCAAATGATTCTTCTTAAACTACATTCTCATCTATTTCATTGCATTTTTATAAAATATTTATTTGTTCTTCTGTAATTTTTTCAAAATCTTCTTCTAATTTCAAAACCCATTTTAATACATTTGGATGTTTCAAATATTATAAACATACAAATTATTCATCATTAAATTTATCTTCCAAATAACCATTATTTAAATAACCACATAATGTTTTTATTGTTTGAAGACAATTTATTTCCAAATCTTCATTAACTATTTATTTACGTATAACCTATAGATCTTTTTCATTGAGTTTATTATGTTCATAAAATGATTACCTTAGATTATAATTAGATTTAGAAGATTAAGTCTTTTCTTATTCCAAATAAGAGATTTAGTCATTTATAGATTAAGTATAATCTAACCAAGTCTTCAAAATCAATTTATAAGCATATTTTAATAATTCATCCCAGAATGAGGATACTAATCTTAATTATGATTAATCTTGAGGAGTTAGAAAATAAAGAATTTGTAATGAGCAAACTATGCCTAATTACATAAAATTGAATTATAAATAATAAAATGTAGCAGAATCCATCTTAATTTGATTTATAGAAGTTCCAATAAAACTATTAATTTAACAATAAAGAAATAATTGGAAAAGGCTTTGATTCTATTGTTTATAAGGTCATAAAAAAATAAGATGGAAGTTTATATGCATTAAAACTAACAAGTTTTAAGGACTTATAACACAAATTTAATTTTTAACAAGAAATAAGACTCTTATATCATTTAGATCATGATCATATAGTAAAATTCTATGGAAATAGTTTGGATGGTAGTTGTATATTGATAGAATATATGCCTTATGGACATCTTGCAAAATTGATTGATATTGGATTAGATTTACGAATAATAAAATCAATAGTAAATTAAGTTATGAATGCTATACAATATTTACATTCAAGAAATGTAGTACATGGTGATATTAAACCAGAAAATGCATTAATTTCTAAGGATTTTGTTATCAAAATTTGTGATTTTGGATTTGCCATTATTGCTAATTAACCTAATGCTAAATTAAGAGGTGGTAGTGAAGGTTATACAGCACCTGAATTACTAATAAATGAAAATTATGATCCTAAAAAATGTGATATGTTTTCTTTGGGAGTCCTCTTTTTTGTTTTATATATGGGTTATCGACCATTTTTAAGTACACATCCATAGAAATAAGATAAATTTTGGAATTTTATCAAAAATAAAGAATGGGATAAATTTTGGAAAATATTCGATCCAAAAAAATAAGATGTTGGATTTAAGAATTATATATAAAAATTATTATGTGCTGATCCTAATGAGAGATATACAATTGAAGAAGCATTATAAGATAATTGGTTTAAAAGCAATCAATATACAGTAAAAGAATTAGCACAATAACTAAGAATGCTTTTAATTAAATAGTGATATTTTTTTGATTAACCATTTGTTTAATATGAAGTAAATTGTATAATCTAATGGTATATCAAAATTCTTTTAAATTATTATTTCATATTCAATATGATTTACAACAACAAATATTTTGATTCTTTAATTTAATAGTTTCTCTTGAAGAATAATTAGTATACATTAAATAAAAATAGTATCAAAATTGTAAAATAAACTCAAAATGTTCAACCTTATTTCTATATTTTTGGATACACTGAGCCATTTCTTTTCAAAATTGGCTTTAATTATTATTCAGTTAATTATTGTTCATTATTAATATAATGTTAGTTTCTGAAGTTAACTTTCATTATATCAAGATTTGAAATTTGAGAAAGAGTTTCTTTGATTTATAAGACTTCATCATTTGGATCATATACACATACTGTAACACAATTATCAAATTCTATTGAGTAATTCTTGCCTTTTGCAATCTATCTACCTTTTGCATCATACCTTTATTATTCTTTAATCAAGAATTAATTATTCAAAACTTAACTAAAAACTTCATCTGATACTGTATCATCATCTGGTCCTACTTTTATATTAAGTTTTAACAGTAATTTAGGACCAATATTTGATTTCTGCATTATAATTTAATATTTAGTATATTAATTGATGCTTATTCGATTTATTCTTAAATTCTAGTTTCTTATTTGATCACAAAAGAGTTATATATATCATATAATCAAATACCAATAATTTAAATAAATTTCATTTTAGTCTATTACTAATCATAAGAAAATTTATATATTCAATGATAGATAATCCTTAAATTGAGTTAATAAAATATACAGAAAATTATTTGGAAATATTATATGTAAATATTAAATTTATATATATATATATATAAATAGAAGAGATGTATATAATATTCGATTTAATCCTAAACTAAACTAAAAATACTATAAGTGGTTAAATTTAATTAAAGAAAATTATAATCATAATTAATAATATTAAATGAAATAAATCTAAATACATTCTAAGAAATATTAACTCTATTAAAAAAATCATAGGAATTATTAAAAAAACATTTATATAAAACATAAATTATATAAAAATAGAACCATTTTATATGAATAATAATATAGATAATTTTAAGTTAATTATGTAAATCAAAATATCAACTAGTTTATAATCTTTTTTTTAAATACTTATATATGAGAAATATTAAAATAATCAAATAATTTTTAATATATAAATAATGTTCTAATAATAAATGAAGTAATGTTCAAAAGTTATAAAGTATTTTATAATAAAAATAATATAGATTGTATTAATATTATTATTAAGTAATAAAAAAAATATAATAATAATTAAATTTTACTAAATAAATGAGTGCAGAAAATGAAATTCAAGAAGAAAGAACTTAAGGTGAATAATTTGAAAATTGGAAATAGAATGTCCCATTTATGTATGAGATTTGTATTAGCCACTAAAATAGTTGGCCATCTCTTACAGTAACTTGGTTAAATGATATTGAAATGTTATTCTATTTTAACTAAATTTAGAGATCAAAATAATAATGAAGTTCATAAATTAATTGTTGCTACTTAAACAGCTAAATAAGAATAAGAATTCATTAATATACTTAAGGTTTCACTTCCATAATACACAGAAGAAGACTTTGATGCTCCAGTCTTAAATAATATATGTAATGATATATATTGTTAAATTTAAAAGGGAAAACACAACCAGTAGGTAAGATAACACAAGAATCACAAATTCCAGTATAACATGAAATCAATAAGATTAGATAATAGCCAATGAATAAATATATTTTTGCAGCATAAACTAGTGTTGGTGAAATAAGTATAAAATATTATAATAAATAATAAAGGTATATATGATATAAATAAACATCAAAAAGTATTATCTTTAAAAGGATAAGAAAGAGAAGGTTATGGATTATCATGGAATCCTAAAAATTAAGGACATCTATTATCAGCTAGTTATGATAAAAAAATATATTATTGGGATATAACAACTGGATAATTAGTAAAATCTTACAATTTCCATAATTAAGAAGTTGAAGATGTATGTTGGCATCCATAAGATCCAAATCTATTTATATCTTGTTCTGATGATAGAACATTTGCAATGTAAATAAATACTTTAATATATTAGATGTGATACTCGTACATAATAAGGAATGAAAATCTAATAAGAAGCTCACTCATAAGAGATTAATTGTATCTAATTTAATTAATTGGAACCAAGATATTTTGCTACAGGTTCAAATGATGCAGAAGTTAAAATGTTTGATATTACAAAACCAGAAAATTAGATTTATTCATTTTCAAATCATGAAGATGCTATTTATACTCTTTAATGGTCTCCTCATAAAAAGAATTTACTTGCTTCAGGTTCAGTAGACAGTAAAGTTATTTTATGGGATTATTTAAAAGTTGGTAAATCACTGGATAGAGATTTAGATAAAGATGGACCACCTGAAGTAGTGGTAATTATAAATAAATTAATAATTTTAGTTTTATCATGGTGGTCATAGATCAAAAGTGAATGATTTATCATGGAATCCTAATCATAAGAATTTAATAGCAAGTGTAGAAGCAGATAAAAATATGTTATAAGTTTGGAAGATATAACCTTAATTATGGATGGATGAAGAAGGTGATGAATTAATTAATTGATTTATTATATCTCTTATTTATTATATTATTCTTTTATTATCTAATATTTTTATTATTATTATATATATATATATAATTTATATGATTAAAACTCCAATAAAAGTAATAGTACGCACAAGACCAACTGTTGAATTTGCTTATAAAAATATCAATATCAATGAGAATACTGGACATATTGCAATCAATATACCAAAATCAGCAGAATAAGGTATTAATGTTGATTTTACATTTGAAAGGATTTGTTAATCATTAATAAGAAGATTGGGGCTTTACTTTTGATAAGGTTCTTTAAAATGCAAGTTAAGAGGTTGTGTTTGACATATGTGGAAAAGAATTAATACACAGTGCTCTTGGTGGGTATTCTGGAACCGTAATGGCATATGGGTAAACAGGAGCAGGAAAGACATTTACAATGATGGGATCTCAAATTGATTATAAATATAGAGGAATGATGCCAAGATGCATAAGTTTATTATTTCAAGAGATAGAAGCTAGATATGAATAATAAATTACAGTAGGAGTTTCATATCTAGAGATTTATAATGAAATGATGTATGATTTATTGGCTGGAGGAGATTAAAAGTAAATATATTAATACTATATATTAGTACTGGTTTAGCTATTTAGGAAGACAATAATGGATATGTATAAGTAAAAGGGTTAACAATCAAAAAATGTTAAACTGAAGAAGATGCAATAGCATAATTATTTGAAGGTGAAACCAATAGAACAATAAGTGAACATAAACTTAATAAGGCATCATCTAGATCTCATTGTGTATTTACAGTCCATTTAGAGATAAGATCAAGAGTTGAATCAGCTGAAAAAGTCATTATTAGTAAATTGAATCTAGTAGATTTGGCAGGATCTGAAAGAACAAAGAAAACAGGATCAGAAGGTAGAACTTTATTAGAAGCTTAATTCATTAATAAATCACTTTCATTTTTAGAATAAGTAGTAGTAGCATTATCAGAGAAATAAAGAGATCATATTCCTTATAGATAAAGCAAATTAACAAATCTTCTTAAAGATTCAATTGGAGGAAATAGTAAGACTGTTATGATAGCTAATATATGGCCAGAGAAACATTAATTAGAAGAAACTATATCTACTTTGAAATTTGCATAAAGAATGATGAAAGTTACTAATGAATCATCTATAAGAGTAAATTTAGATCCACATGTATTGATAAAAAAATATGAAAAAGAAATAAAAGATTTAAGATAAGAATTAGCAATGCATGATACATTGGCTAATAGAGGTAGAATATAATATGAACCATATACACCTGAATAATAATACAAATAATAATAAATAGCATAATAATTTTTAAATGGAGAACTAGAAGATATTGATATAGATTCATTAAGATAAGTTAAAGAATTATTCTTTTAATTTAGAAATCTATATAGAAATTTAGTTAAAGATTTGGAAAATAAAAATTATATTCCAAGAACAGAAAAAGAACCTGATGTTTCAAAAAAGAAGAGTGATTAAGTTAAACCAGTAGAAAGTGTTGGAATGGAAGAAAATAAACATGGATTTGGTTTAGGTAAAGCTAGAAAAGATGCTAAACCAACTACAAATATAGAAAATTTAGTAAATATTCCAAAAGATGAATTTAAATAAGTAGATGATAAGGCATAATAAGAAATAAGGAAAGAAAGTTAAATAACAGAAGCTAATAAAGAATCTACAATTGAAAAGAGAATTGTCAATGTAGATAAATAATAAGCATTTTCTGATTTTAAAAATAAAGAGGGTTCTTCAATTAATTAATCTATAATAGAAAATATTGTAAATTTATAAAGTTGATATTTAGAATCAATTAAAAGAGAAGAAAGATAATATTTTAATACTTTCAGAAGTTTCAATTTAACTTAAAAATTCAATAGAGTCAAACAAAGCAATTATTGCATAAAAATAATAAAATAAAAATTAGGAAGTAATATAATAAAAATATATATTAATAGGAAATAGCTTAAGGAATTATAGATGAAGAAGAATATGGAATTTTGAAAGAATTAAAAGATTTAAAAAAGAAATTAAAATAAAATTAAGATACTATAAGAAATTTAAAGTCTGAAATAAATACGATAGATTAGAATATTATTTAAGTATTGTGTTATCTTGAGACATTAGTCAAAAGCAGCTTTGGTATAAAAATTTGAAGAACATTTTCTTAAGAAATATGGATTAACTTTATAAGATATAAATAATCCACTTGTAAATTAAAAAGAAGAGGAATATTCAATTAATGATCCTTCAGAATAGGATGATGTAGATTAAGATGCTTTAGCTTATATAAGAGCAAAGAATAAAGTTACATAATTATAGAAGGCAAGAAAATAAGAAAAAATGCACAAATGATAAATGTATTTATCTATAATAAATCCTTATGAATAAATGTTTTTATTTTTATAATATCTTTTATTTCATTTTATTCCTTTTTTAAGAAGCTTTTCCTAAATTTCTGAAAGACTTAAATTTTCTGTTTCCTCATAGAAAGTATTAAAATCATAATTGATATCTTTAAATTCTTCGTAAGGATTTTAACATATAGTCAAATAAAGTATGAGTAAATTAGCTTCTGTTTCTTTACTATTTAAATTTTTAATAATTTTTAAATTTTCTACAATTACATCTCTATATAACATATGAAAAGTATCATTAGCTTCAAAATTATTATTACGAATTGATAAGAAATTTCTAATCAAATTTGTTGTTTAACTTGATGCTTTTCCATTTTATAATTCTTCTTATTAAACTTAATTGCATTTCTTAGAGATTTCAGAAAAGAATTCAGATGAATGTTTCATATCCATTTAAATCAATTATATTAGTTTTTAATATTCCTAATTTTTTAAATTATATTTAATTACTTAAGAAACTAAAAATCTTCCCCAAGTTTCTTTATCAAATTTATCATGTTCCTTTCTTGATAATTATTAATTAACTCTTTCTAAATGTACCATCTAATTTTTAGCTATTAAATATATTAATCTAAAGTAATTATCATTAGCTAATTAAAGCATTTAAATAGTTTATAATTTTATTACTTTTTATATTACAAAATTAAAGAAAAATGCAATATTTCTTTCAAATAAAAAGTAATTATTGTATTTCAACATAGCATCTCTTCTTTTTTTCTCATTTCTATAATTACTCATTATTATTTCACCCTAATTATAAATTAATAATCAAACATTTTATTCAGAGTCAAATTAACCTGAAAATTTTGCTGATTACGATCTCGCTTCTGATGATGCATCTAAAGTTGATTAATTAGAGTTTTCTAATGTATTTATAGGATTCTTAGCCAAATATCCTACAACCAAATTTTAATCAATATATAATTTATTCAAACTAATTGATTTAGATACCTCATCTATTTATATATATATAAAATCCTATACCTTTTTCTCTAAGAATATTCCTCATGTTTTCTTTCATTCTCTCTTCATCTATCTTTATTGTAGGATCTTCAAATACACCTTCCCATGATATCCTATCCTTCTCTTAAACCCTTAACATTAATGTAATAAGTTCCTTAACTTTCTATGATCTAACAGGTTTAGGCAAGAATTTAAGAGGCTAAATTTAACATTAGATATACTTATTTTTTGATATTCTCTAATAGTTAAAATGCTGTTTCAGCTGCCCATGGTGGTCGACCATACAGAAGTTCATAAAACATAACCCCAACAGACCAAACATCACATTTAGCTGAGAAAGGTTAACCTTCCAAGATTTATGGTGCCATATAGAGAGGTGAACCTAGTCTAGATAAATAGGCAGGATCTAAATAAGTAATTTAATATATCTATTACCATTCATTTCACTGTCCATAACTCTAGCAAAACCAAAGTCAGTGATTTTTGCAACACCTTAATGAAGAAGTATATTGGCAGGTTTAATATCTCGATGTATGATTTTTTATTTGTACAACCTTTTAAATCCTTCTACAATGTGTTTAATAAATATGACTGCTTCTAACTAAAAGAATCAGAATATAAATATACTTCACTGAGTCGCTTTTCATCCTTTTTAGCCATATAGTCTTTAAGATCACCATCAGCACAATATTCAAGAAACATATACAAATAATTGTTTGTTCTTGCTACATCAAATAATCTCACGATATTTGGATGATTAATTTTCTATAAAATAGCTATTTCTCTCTTTATTAGTTCAATCATTTTAGGTGTGTCTGAAATTGTCTAATAAATAAACTGAGTATTTACAGCAATCTTTATCGTTTTGACAGCCACTTGTTTGGTTTCATCCTCCTACAAAAATCCTCTAAACACTGTACCATAGGCTCCTTATCCCAAAGTTTTATTGACGACAACATATTTGTCTATTTTTTTGGTTGTCCAATCTTCACTCATTTATAGAAAACTAAAATAAATTAATATTCCAAAAAACTTTCTAATATTTTTTGATAAATATATACAAAGGATATACAAATTAGTATCACAGCCTGTTTGCCCGAGCTGGTTAAGGGGGCAGACTTAAGATCTGCTGGAGCCTACTCCGCGTCGGTTCGAATCCGACAGCAGGCAATTTTTTTTATTTTATTCATAATAACTATTATATATATTTTATTACAAAAAAAATAATTGATATAATTAATTTCTATATTCTTAATTATAGTTTTCAATTACAATTATCAAATTGAATTTAAACAACAAAAATTTTAATTTCTTAATCAAATTTTATTGATAAATAAAACATTTAAGAAGTTATGATTCTTTATTCTTAGTAAAATATATATTAAGATATTTATAAAAAAAGAAAAGAATTTTATTTTTAACAATATATTCTTAGAATTTATTTATATGATAATAGATATAATACTGAATTTAATACAAATTGATAGTTAAAATAATAAATGATTTAAATTTAATTGGAAATATAAAAATAATATTATTTACTTATAGGTGTTTGAGTAATTAATAAAAATAATATATAAATTATTTTATGATTTCAATTAAATATTATAAATATATATATATTTAATTTTATTTCAATTAAATAGATTTAATAAATTATTATTCTAACTAAAATATCTAAAATAATCATTAAATAACTTAATTCCGGCTAATATTATTAAATATATATATTATAATGAGTTAATCTTTTAGTAATTATTTTTAAGAAGTAATTATAATGTTAAATTTTTAATTAGAAAATAGATAATTCGAAATATAAAATAAAAGGTTATTATAAATAATATAATCATCATTATATAAAAAATGTTCAATAAATTTGGTTAATAACTAAGACCATTAGGTAATAGATCCTCCTCTGAAACTAAAAAGGAATAATCTAACCAAAAATAACATATTTAAATAATACAAAAGAGATAAAGGAGTGAATCCAGAGGAGATTCAAATGAAGAATAGAAATCACTTATTTAGAGTGTACCTGCATAAAGGGGAAATGTAAGATTACCTGATTTAACCAAATCAAAAAAATAAATTGAAAAGTCAACATCAGGAAATGATATTACAAAAAAACCTCCTCTTCTTAAAAGTAGAATTATAATAGATTCTAAATAAAGATAACAATAATAATAATAATAACATGCTTTATATCAATCAATTCCTATTAAGAGTTAAAAAGAAGAGAGTATTTAGCATTTGTAATAATAAAGACAAAAAATGAAGATCTCCTATTTTAGTTAATCACGACCTGGTTTTGATGGAATATCAGAGAAAACAAATTAAGATAGAGAACTTTGTTTATAATTTGATGATAATAATTATGCTTTTGTTGTTATGGATGGACATGGTATGGATGGAGAACATGTCAGTAGTTATGTTAAGGAACAAATGAAATGTAAAAAATAAATATATATATAAATATGTAGATAATTTGAATAAGTTTTATAAGGTGTTTGATTTTTAAAAGATATTCTCTGATATTCATTAAAAAATGAAATTGCAAACAGAATTTGGATGTTAATTCTCAGGAACAACTGCAACTGTAATATTATTAAAAGAAAATATTATTTAATGTGGTTGGGTAGGTGATAGTAGGGCCATTTTAGTAAGAAAAAATCAAGATTTATCTGTTATTGAATTATCAACAGATCATAAACCTCATTTGGAAGGTGAAAGATAAAGAATAGAATAATGTGGAGGAGTTGTAGATACATATCATTTACCAAGTGGAGCACCTATAGGTCCATCAAGAGTATGGGCTAAAGGAGCATAATTTCCAGGTTTAGCAATGAGTAGAAGTTTAGGGGATGTGGTTGCTGCATCTATTGGAGTATCATAAATACCTGAATTAAAATTAGTAGATATGGTGAATAAAGAGGATATATATATTGTATTAGGATCTGATGGAATCTGGGAATTTTTAGATAATTAAACTGTATTATGAGTTTAAATAATCAAGATAGCAGATATGGTTTATCCATTTTATACGAAGAAAGATCCTTAAGGTGCTTGTTAAAAGATTATTTAGGAAGCTGTGGCTGCATGGAAAGCCCATAGTGAGGGTATAGATGATATTACTGCAATAGTTATATTCTTTTAATATGAATTATGATAACATAATTTAGTATTTACTATCTTCATTCTTTTATTAATATTTAATTCCTTTATGAACCATTCTATTTATTTAAAGACATTTCTTTTGATGTATAATTATACATATTTTCATTGATATTTTTAATATTTTGGAGTAATTGAGCTTTGTGATATATTGTCAGTAAACCCTTGAGTCTCAACATAACTTAAATAATTTCATATAATAGTTTATTTATTTATTAAATACTTATAATGAATTTCTTATTGAATATAAATGATAATTTACTAATCAATAATCCATAAATACTATTGAGTAATATAATAATAGTATATAATAAATAATAATAATATATGAATAAATAGTAAATGTAAATATTAATTTATAAATGATAGAGTTATTATTATTACTTAATAAAATGTATATATAATAGGCACGTAAAACAAACATTACATATTTTTCAATAATATTCATCTTCTTCAATTTCATCAAACATTGAAATTGTAGGTTATTTCCAATTCTTTTTTGTTTCTTCATCAACTAAGGTATTTATTAAATGTATCATAAAAGCTTCTAATTTATAATATAATGGTTATTAAGATCTCAATTCATAATTCCATTCTTTCTAGCTTTATCAAATATCATAAATACTTCATCTTTCTTTCCAATAGCAATAGGAGAATATTTTTCTGCTATTCTTGCTATAGCTTCCATAAATTCAATCCATTACATTTAAAATAATCTATCACTTTCTAATTCATCAACTTATGTCAACATTGATAAATTGAATGCTAGATTTACATCTCTTTCAACAAAATTTTCATCATATAAATTAGCTTTATTGCAAATATCTTTAAGTTCATCTAAACACATAAATGGTGGTTAACCTGGTTTAACTTTTTTAGATGAATTTCTCATATAAACATAATCAAAAACCCATTTATATTTTTTACATACATCATCACATTATTCTATAAAATATCTTTCTGCTCTCCATTTATGACAATCAAATTATGACATATGTGGCATACATTAATCTAAAATCATTTTAGTAGCTTAAACAATATTAATTTATGGATTAAATCTCATATATTTATCATCTGAAACTCTAACTAAGAATTCCATCATTTAATATCTAACCAATGATCTTTCTGGATTTCTATAATTACCCTTATAATCAATAGAAGATGCACTACAAGTTGCAATAAATTTAAGATCTACATCAGCTAATTTTAATTATTTTTAATCAATTAATTAACATTGATTTACAAAATCAGATGTTGGATTAACAGACATTGAAAATACATCTCCTGTTGGATTTACACTAGCATAAAATCTATATGTTTCTCTCATTGGTTTATATGCTTACCATAAGAGTTCTTTAACTTAATCTTATTCTTCTTATTTTTTAACAAACTTAGAAATTTTACAACATTACCAATCACGTTCAAAACATTTCCTTAATAAATCTTCTGTATCAAATTTATATTTTGGAGCCCATATTGATATTGGATATGTCCAAATTCTTTTTTATTTTTTCCTTTTGGCAGGAATATAGATAGGATCTTATGTTCTTGGTAAAACATCATAATTTGGATACCAATCTTCAATAACAGGTTTGGATTTAGGATATGATTCAAAATTGGTTTCATCAATTAACACATTCACAACCTAATGATGAAGAGATTGAGAACCTAATCAGCTATGCTAACTTTAGTTCTGAATTTCTCAATATGTTATTTTATAGGAACAGATTGACTAGCAATTTATATAGCATTGGCAGTATAAAAGTATTCAATATCTCCAGTTGGAATCATTCGATGAGTTCTAAAATGACCATGCTAATCAGGTTTTCCTAAAAAGATAGGTTCATAACCTTCATAATCAAAATGAATAAATATAGGTTCATCAGAACAAGCTCCACTTTAATCTATATAATATATAAATATAATATTTATACTTGGAATCCATTCAAAAGTAGCCATTTACCAACAATCACATATCCAACAAACATCTTTAACTTTTTCAAATCTTGATGCATGATCATAAGGTTTAGGATGTGGCATAACTCCTTTTATACGTTATTCAATATGTATTGAATTGAAATTCTTCATACTAGAATCAATAATTAAAAATCCTTTTGAATCAATAAATCCAAAATTTCCTCTAAAATGAAATCCATAAATTGAATGATTTTATTTCAATGCTTCTTATATAATAGTACAATCTGTAAAAGTAAAACTATTAGCTGATAAATCTAAATGTTAAATAGATTTATTTTCAACAATAAAATCTTTTAATGCTGGAGCAATTACATTACCACATCCAAGTAAATTATATGAAAAATCTAATACTTTAATATTTTTATTAGTTTATAATGCTTTAAATATTTCTACACCACCAGAACCTTTAATTGAATTCCAACGTAAATATAATTCTAATAATGTATCATTAGATTCTATTAATTATTTTAAACTTTAATGTGCATTATTTGTTATTTTATTTTTTGATATATTTAAAGTTTCAACTGAAAGATTCTTGCTCATTGCTTTACATAATTCAATTATTAATTAATCTCCTAAATTATTATCTTCTAAATTCAAAATCTAAATCCTTTATATTATATATCAATTTACTTGCATTATTATAATGGTAATATTTTTAAAATTGAATCTAAACCTTTCTCTCCAATTAAATTTGTTTAAAATTCAATTTTCCTTGCTTATTTACTAATTAAAGGCATTAATTATGAAGCTCCATATTCTTTAATTCTATTATGATTAAAATTAAAATCTTATATAGCTGGTAATATTCTAAGTCCTTCTGAAAGCATTTCCACATATTTATCTCCAAATTTTTAGTTCTGTATAGAAAGTGAATTACGATCACCTTTCAATTTAATTAAACCCATTTTACATGGTAATATCTTTAATCTTTCAGATCTCTATATCAAATTAGTCTATACAGAATCTATTATTTATGATAATCTTTAAATACTTTATATATTCTCAAATTAGTTCTATTCCAAAATTCTCTTTATATTTTTAAATGTATGGTAATAGGATCTGTATGCATCCTCACCTACCAACTCTTTAGGTTTACGATCTTCATAAGGTTCCTCATTATTATATGTAAGACTCCCAAACACCTCTTTCTAATCAATATATTCAATTCATTTAACATCATTAATGAGATCCTTTTCTTTAGTTGGTTATTGGATCTTGTAATATTGTCTGTTATAGCGTTTGGGCATACTCACATCATCCAATCCACTTAAATACGGCAGTTACTTTGCAATTGAAATCTTTGGTAAAGCCATGGATCTCATTGAATATTTAGCCTACATAGACTTAAACTCATACTAACTTCCTGCCAGTCTCACTTTCTATTGTAGTGATTTGAATATCTTCCATTTTTTTAAATATAATAAAAACAAATAAATTAAACCAAAATTCTCAGTATCAATTACCAATTTCAAAGGTTTCTTTATCACTTTCATTAGTATCATCCTTTCCTCTTTTATCTATTATTTATTCAGTCAAAGTCTTTATAAAACTATTCCTATTAACTTTCTTTCTTTCAATTATTACAGATTTTGATATTCCATATAAGTTTTGTTATTCATCACTCTTTTTTTCTAATCTCTTTCTATTTTAAAACTCTCCATATTGTATTTAAACTGGTCTTACATCAGACAACTTATTTAGTAGTTGATCACCATACTTATGATATCCAAATTAAAAAAGGCAATATTGTTTCTAGTTCTTTATCAGATTTATCATAAAAGAAATCCTTAATCTTAAATCCATTCTCAGGATTCATAATAAAAGAGAAAACTGAATTCTAAATGTTAAAATAATATTATTAGTACATCAACAATAATAATATCTTTAAGATCTCTTCCCAACTTAGTTAAATCCTTAGTTAAACCATTTTTTAAAGGTGTACAACTATCTCTAAATAATCTTTCAATTGCTTTTCTATCTGGATCAATATAATCCATTACAGGCATGGCATATTCTTTTAAACTAGCTGTCCATAATATAATATCATAAAAATGATTAAGTTAATCAAAGAATTGTTTAACACCAGGACGAACAATAACAAATACCTTAAAATTCTGTTATTAAACAACAATCTAGTTCTAATATATCAATTACATCAAGAGCCAAATCATAAGAATCAAAATGCTAAAATTAACTATGCACTAATGTTTCATCTAAATCCAAAACAATTATTTTCCTTTGACCCTATATAAAAATCCCAGTCTTATACAATAAATGAAGATTTTGGACTATCTATTTCTGGATGATATTAATTCTCTAACTTAGGATTCTTTTTGAAATATTCAAAACAAGAACACAATCTAGATAATAATGATCTTTTTTCTTGAGGTTAAGAGTAAATGATTTAATTATTTTACATATATATATTTATATATAAATATAATCTTATCAATTTATAAAATCAGTCAATTATCTTCTAAATGAATGTCTACTTATAGATTACTTAATATCAATCTAATCATCATCACATATTATTTTCACTTATATCCTTCTATTAAATGATACTCTCTTAGGAGATACAGTGTCAATCTTTTTTGGAGATAAAGTAATTGAAGATTGTAAAGGTGCAAGTATAACATGTTTATTGTTTCGAATAACATATTATTATTCTACTTCGACTGATTCAAAAAAATCAAATATGTCTTAATGTTTACTGCTACTGTTTGATCCTTTTCTTTTCAAAATACTCTTAGGTTAACTACTCTCCTTTGTAGATATACCTTTATCATCAATTTTTCTTAATAGTCTTTATTATAATTTTGGTGACTCCTTGTTGAAAGTAACTTTTTTATCTTTAAAATTATTAATAACTCTTTAAGATTATGGTTCATATACTTAATCATAAAATCGACCAGATAACATAGCATCTTAAACTCTACTTGTATTAGGAATAATTTAAAGAGATCTGAATTATTAATATATTTCAGGTAGAAATTGAAATCTAGATTGTTATCTAGAATTTGAATCATGTATTTTGTTATCAGATAGTCTATTGTACATTAATAAATAAATAAATGTTTTTTTTCTAATGAATTGATTAAATTTAGAGAGTAAGAAGATATTATTATTATTCAATATTAAAATAATTCATAATTAATTAAATTCAAATATTGAATTTACTGATTCATTTGATAAAGAGACAGAATACTTATAGTATATATCACATATATTCTAAAACATCATACATAAATATTTCAATGAATATATAAATAAATAGGGTACTAAACCATAAAAAATTGAGCCAATTTTATCAAATAATAAAGTACTCTATCAAAAATATCAACCATGATCAGGGAAAAGTGAGTCAGTAGTCTTAAAATCAATAAATCTTTATATTAAATGGAGATTTCCCAATATTAATAAAAGATAAGAAATTCATTTATGAGATTATAAGTGAAGAGAAGATATATAATAATATATTTCCACTAACATGTTTTATCAAATATGGAACCCATAAATAAAGTTCTATTATCACTTTAAAAAAGCAGATATTAACTATGTTATGCTTAAGTTTATTTTATATTGGAATACTATCAATAAAAAATAGAGAGAATAAACAAATAATATAAACTCTAATGATATAATGATAGTATATTACAAATTAAATCAGCAGATATTTGGATTAATGTTAATCTGTAAAATTCCTTTTTAAATCTACATAATTTGTATAGTAATATGTAGATATTAGAATAAATTGATATAATTTCTATATCATAATGACTATGTTTAAGAATATTAGACATCAATATTTTTATATTCTTCATGTAAAAGATAGAGTACAACTATAAATATTAAATAATATGTATACCATTAGATACAGAGTACTAATTAATTTTAGATGATGTATAAAATAATAGGGGCTCCAATCAAACCGGTAATAAATCTTTAAGTCCAATTTACCATTAATTAATTAAATGTTTCATGAGTTTCTATAAGAGTTGGGTACATTGAAAAATGCAGAACTTCCATTTCCTTTCCGTAACTAATTCAAAATAAAAGAGAATTTCATTAATCCTAATAGCAAACATTTTGACTCTATAGCCTAAAAGTTACTAAAATCATTAATATTATATTAGATTATTATCTGAAGAGAAGGCTGGTATTAAACGAAAATGGGACAAATAATGTAAGATGATGTTTATTTGGATCTTGGGTAAATTCTTTTAATTGAAAAACAAAAAGACAATAAACCCAAATTAAGAGGAATGGGTATAATTGGCATCAATTCTTTAAATTGATGAAACTACATTAAAATAAAGATGGATTACATTAATTAATCCAGTTTCTAAGAGTATTAATTGGGATCCAGAAGAAGATGAAATAATTAAGTCACTAATGAAGTGAGTTTATTTATATATATAATATATAGTGAATAAGATGAAAAGCATATATGGACACATATTGCACTTGAATTATATAATCAAAATAATGGATAATTCATTAGAACACCTAAATAAGTTAGAGAAAGATGGATGAATTACTTAAATCCAAAACTTAAAAAGTAATCTCACTTATTAAAAACAATAGAACTAATTGGAGTCAGTAAGAAGATCTTTAATTATTAAATACAGTTGTCAAAAATGGAAAGAGATGGTCACTCATATCTACATTACTTGAAGGTAGGACTGAGAACTAAGTTAAAAATAGGTATAAATTAACACTATCATTTTATAGATTCAAAAGTTTAATATAAAAAATATATAAAGATGAAGAAGATGATGATATTGAGGAATTACAAGCAATTAAAGAATATTTGAATAAATAAAATATAGAATAAGAATAAGAACCTCAAAAAGAAGAACCTTAAATTAGAACATAATATTCAAGATAAGCAAAATTAAAATTTAATCTAAGAGACAAGAAAAAAGATATTATTCAAGAACCTCCCTAAATAGTAGTATCTTAAGAAATCTAAACAAAAAAGAGAAAGATTAGTTCTTAAATCAAAGATTTTCTTAACATAGGTCTTGATCCTGTAATATAATAATCATAAAAATTATAATAAACTCAAAAGACAAAATAAAAAGAAATTAAATCTAAATAATAATAATAATAATAATAATAATAATAATAATAGAATACAAGATAATAATAATTGGAATAAATTATCATTAAATAAAATGATGACTAATAATTATTAGAATAATCATCTTTTCAACTTGATCAATAATAAAAAATAGTTTCTTAATAATATTAAATACCTTAATTATAATTAAATGAAAATAATAAGAGAGATTTATCAACACCAAACACCTTATCTTATTATTTTCAACCATAACTTTAACAAATGGAAGAATTAAAGAATGATCAATTTAGATTAAAATAAGTTTAAATGTCTCCTATTTAATAATAATAATAATAAAATCAAGTACTATATTAAGGTTTTCGTCCATATCAAGAAGAAATTCCCTAATAAATATAATAAACTCCTGTATAAATGTTAATGGGATAATATTTTAAGAATTATCCATAAAATTATAATCTTATTTCACCATTTCCATAAATTAATTAAACACCTATGGTTTATACACCTGCACAACCAATGTATATGTATAATAACAACAATCCATATATGGGTATGTCACCCTTACTCATACGAAGTCCATATCAAGAAATGTCCCCTAGTGTATAACCTTAATTACCATCTTTGTAATAATAGAATTTGTGGTAAACTCCACAATAGACAACTATTGATTAGATGTAATGTGATTAGTTAAAACAATAATAGTTTGTACATATATATATATTAATTAGAATACAAATTTGGAATTTCTAAAATCTAATAATTTACTTAATTCATGGATTAAAAAAAGAACCAATGAAAAATAAAGTCAACCATTTTAAGACTCATTACAATCACTTGATTAATGATATATTTAAATGTATTAAATTTTATATATCATTAAAAATATTATTACAATAAGTAAATTTCTATATAGATTACTTAATATTTATTGTTATAAATATGTTCTAAATAATTTAAAAAATCAAAATATTATATTATAAATATGAAATTTCTATCTACATTGCAACTTTTCAATTTTCATAAAACATAATTTATCTATAAAAAAAAAGAATAAAACTACTGATTCTATTTCAATAATAAATTTATTTATTTTTTATAGAAAGAATTTATTAAAATCTATGATTATAATTTTTAGGAGAAAAGTGAATTATAAATTATAAAAATAATCAAAGCAATATTAATGATTATTATAAAAATTCATTATCTTTTTTTAATCCGTTTACTTTACTTTTCAATTCTATTCATGAACTTATTTATAGTGTCTTATTCATCTTTTGTTAAATAAGTACTATTTAGATTGAATTCTTTTGACAATTAGTTGTACAATTATTTTTCTTATTCTTATTATTTTTTAGTAAAATTTAGGATAATTTCCTTTCTATCAAGATTATAATCGTATATCTTTTTTGATTCTTATTTAGATAAAGTATTGTAAGCCTCACTAATCTCTTAGAATTGAATGATTGCTTAGGTCCTATAGTTCATATTCTTGTCCTAACTTAGTTTAAAATATATTATCTTACTGGATGCCATTCTAATGCTAATTTATGGTAAGCTTCCTTTATTTATTGCTATTCAGCATCTCTTTAAAGTCCTAATGTATTATAATGATTTTTCATTGTTTTATCATAAATTATTCATCAAATCAAATCAGAATTTATTACTTTATCGAGATTTTAGAAATTCTGGAACTTTTATTAATAATTTTAATTTAATATAATTATTTGTATTAAGAACAATTAATAATCAATCTTCTGTTGGATTACCTAGAATTTAGAAGTTTTTTCCTTTGAAATCTCCAGCCTATCCTCTTAATTTAACATATTCTGAAAAGTCTCTTTGATTAGCAGAGAAGGCACCAATAATTTATGATACTAATTATCTTTTTTATTCTCTAAAAGATATATCAATATATAAATTACCTTTTTTCTCTTGTTAATTAATAATTATAAGCTTTTTCTCTACATTCTCCTCCTCTATCTTCACTTTATTTATTTTTTGCAGACAATCTAGTATTATAATCAGTCAAATCTCTCTTTTAATCTTAGATTCTATTATCTAAACCTAAAATAGCAGCATTTAATTAAGCAAGAGCATTATTTAAACTGGTTAAGTCTTTATCAAAATTACCTTTTTCTAACATGAACATATTCAATCTTTTTTATTCAGCCTTTGTTTCTAAAGCTTTACTATCTTCAATCTATTTTAACATGAGATCACATAGATTAACAATTCTATTAACTGTAGGTGAGTTTTAAAAATCTTCAGATTAAGCAGAATTAGCTATTTCAGCTAATACATTGAATATTTTAGAATAACTCTTTTTAATTTCAAATTTCTCTAATTTAATTATTATATGATATATACTTGCTTATTCAGATGCATTAATAAAGTAATCTCTAACTTTTTACCATTATGATTCATTATTTAATTATAAGAAACTTTAACTTTTATCTGAAAACATTCTTCTAACTGTTTCAATAACAAATGTTGCATAATCATGTTCTTCTACTTTTTTATCAAATTCAGCTTTTTCTGTTTCTCTTTTCTTTACTAAATCAGCTAATTTCTTTTCAGTTTCTATTTTCCATGCATTTTTAGCATCTGCTTATCCTTATTTATATGATCTTAATGGTTCTAATTCATCTAAAATTGATTGAATTTCAACTGTTCTTCTTTCTAAATTAGCACTTTCTTATTATAAAACTTTAATATCTTCTGTGCATTAATTTTAATATTCATTATTAGCTTTATCATCTTCTTTTTATTCATTTTCAATTGATATTTCAAGATTTCTCATTATTTCAATAAAACGAGCAATAGGTTCACCTGTACTCATTTACATTTATAATGTATCAATCAATGTTCTACCAAATTCATCTTCATCAAATGCTCTGAATTAATCATATTTGTCTGCTATAGCTAATGCTATTAAACAAAGCACCAAAATTTTCATTAATATATTAATTAAAAACGAATTAGAAAATTGAATTAAAACACCTTAAAAACATAAATAATAATATTTAACCAAAAATACAGATAATGCAAAATGACATTTATAAACACGATTTGTTATTAAAAATTATTTAATTCTGCAAAACTTAAATAAAAGTAATAGAAAATTAAATATTTATCAAATTTTTATAATCATCTTATTTGAATCTATATAACTATTCATATGTTCTCAATCCAATATTATTTTTATTATTTTGAAATAAATGAAAACTTATATATTTAGATTGAAAGTTGATAATGCTTAAGATCTTCATCATTCAAAGTTGTTATGGTAAAACCTAGACAGCAATACAATTAACATAGCTAAATTATAGTCTGTTAAGGACTAAGTAGTTTTTTTTTAAATAGAGACAAAACCAAATATAATAAAATATTGGTATAAGAATTCTTAATAAGAAGAGGAACAATAGAGAAGAAAAATTAATTTAAAGTATGGTGATCGAATCGAAATTGATAAATTTAATTGTTATAATGTAGTCTTAAAATCCGAAATTAAATCGTAGGATCATTTACAATATACATCTATGTACGAATAAAATGAATAGAGACGGAAAATACTATCTTTTAATAAAAAGAATGTTATTCATGTACCTTACTAAAATAAAAATCTAAAATTTTTATTTGAACATTAAAAATAAGATTAAAATTATATAGAAGTTTTATTTGAAGTACTTTTATCAAACATACCTTAATTTGGAAACTCAATTTAATTGTAAATCAAAGAAAATGATTTAGAATATTGTTTATTTTGTGACTTTCGTCTATATAAATCAGAATAAAATATTTAATTGAAAATATTAGATAGGAAATTAATTGGGTCTGATGATATCATTTTTTATAAATATTAAACTTTTGCATTAGAAGTTGAAAAGCAATCAACTAGATTGGATGATCTTATCTAAAAGTCTTAAATATTAGACTAAAATTTAAAATCTGTTAATGAATTAAATTCTTAATTCACATAGATTGGCAACTTTTTTTCAGTAATTTACTAATCAACGAAACAAACAATAGAGTCATAAAATATATTTTCAACATAAATTATATAAAACTAAAGCAAAATGTAAGAATAGCAGTTAAGTCGAACCTAACAAATAAATAAATATGATAATGAAAAGAAATAAAATCTCTAACAATAATAAAATAACTAAATTAAAAAGGATATTGAACTTAATAAAATTAAAGAAAATTAAAAAACATAGTAATAGGATTTTCACCAAAGTGATGATGAATAATTAGAGTCTACAGCTCCGTTGTAACCAATGAAAATCGATTCTAATATGGATCAACAAGACTATCAGAATTTAATTTAAAAAATATAAGAATAAGATCAAATGATCAAAAGTTTAAAACAAGATTACAACCAATAAATATCCAAATTAAAGTTATCAATTACAGATTTGAACCTTTAATTGACAAAAGAAAAAGAAGAGATTGAACAATTAAAACAAAATAATAGCTTAAAATTTATTTAGAATTATAGAAATCGTAGACTCAATACTAGTGTATCTTAATCTAAATTATAATCTAAGTCAACAATTTAATTTATGAACCTTAATCCTATTATTTAGTAAGCAAAGATTGAAAATTTTAAAGATTGTTAATCATTTAGATAAACAAATAACTGTATGTCTTAGATTGATTAAAATTAAAATAATTAAAAAAAATAAAAAATTATAATTAAGGAAGTGAATAATCATAATCAATGCTTTAAAATTGAAATTTGAATTAATTATTAAATTAACAAAATAAATTTATACATTAAATTAAATATATTCTCACAAATGTAAGTTAATCTAAATGCTCCAAGATTAAAAAAAAGATAGATTTATCTAAAGAGACATTTCTTAATTAAATTATTGCAAAAAAAATCAGAAAAAATATTAATTTAAATATCAAATACATTACAGTAGATTAATATTTTGGTTTTTTTTTAATCATCTAATTTGAATTTGTAATATTTATTAAATAATTCATTATATTTAAGATTCGAAAGTTGATTTAAATTCTAAAAAATCAATACCTCCATTACAGTTTTTATCAAAATACTGGAAAATTAAGCTTGCATCTTCATTGTTAATTTTTGAGTTAAAAAATCTAATAATTGTTAAATAATATATATAGTTACCTGAGAAATTTAACAAATTCAACTAGATCGAGTACTTAATTGACATCAGTGTCAAATTATTTAAATAGTTTAACTAAACTTTTTTCTTGTTCCTCTATTGTATCTTTAATTTTCTTTAATTCTATTTTCCATTTAGGTATTTAAATTAATGGGCTATTTTCATATACAATATCAGGTTTAATTTCTTATAAGCTTAATCTAACTCTATGTTGTTAAAGACATCTTTAAAACTCTAAGAAATTAATTTAATTAGTCATGTCAACATCAATCATATTAAAAACAAATTCAATTTATTATCTATTGAGTTTTGGATCTATTTCATTCAATAATAGTTATAATTCTTTGAAAGTTAGGAATTAATTATCTTGAATTTATAGCTTTTTAAAAGTTTCCAATAAATCAATTTATTTGACAACAATTATTTATCTAAGTTCATTTATAATGAATTCAGCTTATGCTTCCATATTTATAAATTTATCTACATGATCTTTAAACTTTGGATAAATTAATTAATGTCTATAGAGATCATTCCAACCCATACGTTTATCTTCTTCTACTTCAAGACATTTTTATATAAAATCTTTAGCTTCTGCAGAAATATATGATGGAAATTAAACTGGACATTTCAATATCATATTAAGTAATTAGGGTACAGAATTTGCAATCCATGGAGTTCTTCTGAATATGCATTCATAAAATATACATCCAATTGACCAAATATCACATTTACTTGTATATGATTCTCTCATTAAAATTTATGGTGCCATATAAAGTGGAGTTCCAACAACAGATTCCATTATATCTCTTTAAAAATTAGAAATACATTTAGCAAATCCGAAATCTAATTTATAATTTAAATTACCTCCTAATTTAAAAGTATTTTGATGAACAAGAATATTAGCAGGTTTCAAATCACGATGGATAATACCTTATTATAATAATTCAATAAAGCCATTCAGAATATCTGTTAAAATTCTTATTGCTCCTACTTCTGTTAAATATTATTATTTTTTTAGATAAGTACCTAAATCTCCATCTTTACAATATTCTTGTACTATATAATAATTATTTTATGATTCAAGTGTATCTAATAAACGAACTACATTGTTTCCTTTCAGTTTTTGCATAACTGATAATTCTCTTCTTAAACCTTCCATGAGATATTTATCATTTAGTATATTTTTTTTTGGAAGCATTTTAATAGCAACTTATCTATTATTTGTTGTATCTATTCCTTTATATACTTTTGCAAATGATCCTGCTCCTAGAAGATCTGTACTTAAAAGTTTATATTTATCAATAGTTTTTTCATTCATTATTAAATATAATGTAGATAAATCATTTAGTTTCTGGCCATTTCTCATTGATTCTATCTGCAGCCCTTGTTGTATTGAAATGTTCAAGGGCATCCTTGATTCCTTCAGCTCCTTGTAATAATACTCCTCTTGGAATACGTTTATCAGGACATAATCCTTTTAATTTTATGATATTTTCTCTTTCCTATCTGAGTACAGTTTGCATTTTCATCATTTTAGAAACAAAGGAGATTTTTGATTTGGTTATATCAATTTATTTTTTAGTAATTTGTTGTAATTTTCCTGAGGGACGACTATTAGATTAGGATTATCCCATATTTTATTATCCGGTTATAACTTTAGGAATTGGTATCTCATCCTCTGAATCTTCTATTTTTTCACCAGGTCTTGGTTATAAGACATAATTAAGCATCTCAGTTACTTTTTCTGTTACAAATGGTATTGACCATGAAAAAATATCTAAAAAGTGAGGTAGTAAATATGGATGTTAAGAATATCCAAATTAAGATATATTAAGTGTGCAATTTTCAAATTTTAATATGGCTGCCTTATTATTATAAACATCGCAATAATTAGGAGCACTAAATATAGTCAATACTTAAGGAAACTCTTTTATTTTTTCATTGTATTTATACAATCTATACCCTTCTAATTAAGCTTCATGAGCTCTAATTAAACATATGAATTTATTATTGTCTAAAAATGGTTGAACTGCCTTTTCTCCAAAAAACCAACTGCAACCTCTTGTATCATTACCTCTATAATGAATTTCATCATAAAGATCTTCATTTTCAACTGGATCAGCCCATAAAATATCACAAAATAATCCTGCTTTTGGTGGTTCTCTAAATCTATCTATTCTTTCAACATCTGCTAACTAATTGCATATTATTCTATTCATACGGATTTTAAATCTGGAGATATTCCACCATGTAAACATAAGAATTTATTATTTATTAAGGCCACTAAAGGCATATTGTCAAATGATGCCATGATAGCTTCATAGACTTCTTAATCATATTTATATAGGCATTCATCTCTAAAATTGAAGTAACTTGTTAATTATTTGCATTCATGATTTCCTCTAAGAAGAAACACTCTTGTTGGATAATAGATTTTCATAGCATACAATAACACTACTACTTCTATTGAAAAGGAACCTCTGTCAACATAATCACCTAAAAAAACATGTAAATACACAAATAATCATACATATTTTCCTTGTTCTGGATCACCTCCCATCTCTAATACTTTCATTAAATCATAGTATTATCCATGAATATCTCCTACTACAGTAAGTGGATCATCGACATAAATTACATTACCTTCATTTTTTAAATGATAATTGCACATATCAACTAATTTCATTAACTAGCTTTTTGTTATCCTTCCTTCCTTGAAAAGGTGTTCTTTCAATAATTTCCAGTTAGGTTTATCATCTATAAAAAGTAACTCTTCACTTAATGGTCTATGAGGTGGAGTGGGTATCGTATTTACTTATCTATCCCCTTTTGGGTCTTTTAATAAATCCATTAATTATTTTAACTAAATAATGGATGTGAAAAATTACAATGGTTGGCGATTCTGTCCAAGATGCAAGAATCTACTCAAACCATATCATGATGGGGATGTTACTGAAATTTTACAATTTAAATGTAGAAATCAAGATTGTGGAGACAATGGAATCATTGAAGTCAAAATTGATAAAACATAAAATAAAAATGCACTCTTACTTAAAAAAGATTATCAAGCAGCAAAAGCAATAGATATCACTGATAATACACTAATTCTTGATCCATCAATGCCAAGAAAAAGAGTTATTTGCAACAAGTATACATTCTTATATTTATTAAGATGCAATTATGACGAAGCAATTTATTTTCTTAAAACAGATAAGAATGAGAAAGAAATTATTATTCAATACATTTGTGCCAATAAAACTCCTATATGTGGAAATAAGTGGACGTAAATCTATTTAATAATAATTTATTAGTTAAAAAGAAATGAATGAACCTAAATTAACTTTATAATGATAATTTCACATTAAAATTTATATTTATTTTTATCCGTTAATTATTTGTCATATGAATACAGCTCTTAGATAACCATTATCATCACATAACTCTATTGATAAAAGAGAAAATAAACCAGATTACAAATCAGATTTGAAATCATTTTCATTTATCAAATCTAATACACTAAATGTATAATCATAATAACAATCATAACAATAGATATTATTATAATAATAGTAACAATAATAATAACAATAATAATAATAATAACAATAATAATAATAATAATAGTAATAATAGTAATAATAATAATAGTAATAATAATAATAGTAATAATAATAATAGTAATAATAATAATAATAGTAATTGTTATAGTAATAAATAAATAAAACTCCATCTTAAACTACTCTTACTACAAATACTAATAACAAAATCAATAATTAAATTTAAGATTTAGAAACATTTATTAAAGAAATTGATAGATTATAATTAGAAAATTAATAATTAAAAGTCAAAGCCTAAGAACCGTAATTAATTATATAATCAGATCCTAAAGTAGCCATAGAGAATCAAGATCTTAAAGTAAGAATAATTATAAATATTTAATAGAATTAAGTTGATTATCATAAATAAAAATATGAATTATAAGAAAAAACACACAATGAAACTGTCAGATCAATGGATTTGAATTGGAAATAAGATGTTGTTACAATGAAATTTTAGATGGAACAATAAGAATCAAAGCATAGACAAGCACTTAAATAAGAATAAGTGTAAGCTAAACAAGAGATTGCTAGACTTTAATAAAATTTAACATAAATATCAAATTCTGAGAATAAAAATCAAAATTTAGTACAAGTTTTGGTAATTTATTTAATTTAATAATATAGGAAAGGTAATTAATAAATCTAAAAAAAAGTAATAATATATTAGAAGAGAAACTATCCTAAGCTATTTAATAATTTGATTCTTAATCTAAAGATCAAGAATTCACTTTATTGAAATAATAAGCAATAATTACATCATAGGAATAACATGTTTCTGAATTGAAAAGTAAATTAGGATGTTAAAGAGATTAAAATTAAGGTTTAAATAATGAATTAGAAAGAGTGAAAGAAATAACAGAATAAAAAAAGTAGAATGAGAATATGTTAACAAATAAAATAAAATAAGTAGAAAGTGATTTTGATCATTTACAATAGACATATCAATAACATAAGGAATAATTATAATTGAAAATAAATGAATTGACTGGTATGTATGGTAAATCTCAAGAACAAATTTGTTTGTTGTAATAGTAATAGATAAGAGAACAAAATTTAATAAAGAGATTGGAAGTGAATTTGGAAAATGAAGAAAAGAATCATGAATAAGAAGTGAAAGATATTCATAAATCAAAATAATTATTGATTGAATTTTTGGAATAAGAATTAGTAGGATATAAGGAATAGAATCAATAATTAAAATTAGTAAATTAAAAGTTAGAAAATCAGCATTAGGAATAGTAATAATATTTTGGTAAGAATTTTCGAGAATTGGAATGTAAAACCAATATGTTAGGAGAAGAATGTAGTAGATTAAATAATATAATAAAATAAAAGGATGATTAAATTTATAGATTATAGGTTCAATTAAAAGATTTGATGAATTTGAATGGTAAGAATCAGAATCAAGAAGAATTGTTAGAATCATTATAAATAAAAGAAGGAGAAATAAATATATTGAAATAATAGAATGAAAGTTTAATAAATGATTTATCAAGATAAACAGACAATTACAGAAGTTTGGCTGGTTAACATAAACAATTATAGAAATTTGCAGAAGATGCAAAAATGAATAATATAACTATGAATGAATTCATGAATAAATGTGAACTTTAAGAAAGAGAAGTAGAAAGATTAAGAATGAAAGTTTTAGAGAAATCTTAATTATTAGAAAAAGTTTAAAAAGAGAATTTGGAGTATTAAGCTAAATTGAAATCAAAGTTAAGATGAAAATTATTACTATATATATATATATATTAATAAAATAAAGTCAAAGTATTGGGTTGGCTATCGTTCTCAAAGTTATAAAATTCCAATTCTCAATTAGGTAGATTTTATGAATATCCGGTTTAAAAGTAACTACAAATTGGCCTTAACCTCTTATGATGGATTATGATTACCTGTCATAGTGGATTTAGGAAGGTTATTACTTATCCTTAAATAAGATGGTTAATGGATGAATACTTGTAAATGAAAGATCTCTATTACAACCACGAGAAGATGCCAAAGGTAATGTAAATATAGTAGGTTTACAAGCAAGAAAAGTATAATCTGTAGAATAACTAATGAAAGTTATTGAACAAGGAAGTTCATCAAGAATAACAGCATCTAGTTCATCAAATAGTGATTCCTCAAGATCTTATGCTATTTTATAAATTAAATTAACAAGAGAATATAGATCTCATGGCAAATTTTCATTAATTGATTTGGCAGGTAGTGTAAGAGGAGCTGATGTAAGTGATACTAATAAATAAACAAGATTTGATGGAGCTGAAATTAATAAATCATTATTAGCATGAAAAGAATCTATAAGAGCTTTGGATTTGAATAAAAATCATATTCCATTTAGAGGATCTAAATTGACATTAGTTTAAAGGATTCTTTTATTGGAAATTGTAAAACAGTTATGATTGGTAATTTCTCACCTTCTAATTCATCATCTGAACAAACTCTCAATACATTAAGATATGCTGATAAAGTAAAAAACTTAAAGGATTAAGTAACTTCATTAGATTAATTGGCAAGAGAATTAAAGTTGCCAAGATAATAATAATCTGTTAAAACGTAGAAATAATATCAAAATTCATAATCATAAGAAGAATAACTTAATCCATTTAAAAATAATCCTTTACAAAAATTATTAAAATTAAAATCTATTTCAATAACCTTAACTTTTAAATTTATAAAATTAGGTAACTGGAATGATGGTATTATATAAATTTATATACTTTTAATTAAACTTAAATTCTAATTAATAATAATACTTCAAACTTAAAATATCATAATAATCCTAATAAACTACATGTACTTTTTAAAATTATATGTAACCTACACCTCATTAACTAGTTATTCCTTTATAATAATAATAATAATTCAAAATGAATGATTCTAAAAATAAATAATCTTATAGTAAACCAACAATTTAAATGTAAGAGCCATGATCTTAGATAAAGAGAATCTATTTCCAGGATAAATCGAAAAAAAAATCAACTATATAAATTAATTATTTAGAGCTTTATTAATAAATAGAAGACGAGTTAATGAAGATAGGTCAAAATATGAGTAATTAATTAGTGTAATTCTTGAAGAAGAAGAAAATCTAATCTCGACTCACAGATCTCATATTGACTAGATGGTAGAAGTAGTGAAATAAGTAAAATATAATATTCATAATTAGGAAATGATGTTATTATGTAATATAGATCAGCCTGGATCAGATGTAGTTGAATATGTAAAAGGATTTGAATAAATTTTCTCAACAAAGATAGAAGAAATATAAGCGTAATTATAATTTCAACAAATTTAAATTATATTTGCAATTATCAACATTTAAATCTCATTTATCTGAAGAGGAAACACTATAGAAATAATTCTATTAATAAAGATAATAAATATCTTAGTAATAAATAGAATGTTTTGATATATTTAAGTGATAATTAAGAATAGAATTTTATTATATCATTTTTTTATTAATGCATTTGACATTTCAAATTTAACATACATATTAGCTTACTAATCCAAATAATTAGCAGCTGTAAATACTTTTGGAATATTTTTTCTTGCAGTTGTATTTAAATCTAAATTATTAGATTCAGTATCTTCAAAAACTCTTCTTGGAACTATTCCAGCTAATAAATCCACTTCTCTAACATTGGAATGTATAAAAGCACTTAAATTCATTATTGCTACACCATGATTATTTCTATTATATTATTTTTTTTGTTATTCTTCTAAAATTGGTTCTCCTAATTTTACTTCCTTTTTTTTATTGTCTTTTTTTGCATCTTTTTTTACTTCTTTCTTAACTTCTTTTTTATCATCCTTCTTTTATTCCTTTTTTGGTATCTTTTTACCTGTTTTAGGATCTACTGTAAAATCAGGTTCAGGTGGTTTGTTTTTCTCTTCTTCTATTTATAACCATTTTTCAATATCAAATAATTATAATTCTTCTTTAACATCATTTCTCACTATTTCATCTTTATCATGCAATTCAAATTTTAAAGGTTTAGTCTCAAAATGTTTTGCAATATCCATAGTTCCCAATAAAAAAATATGTTTAGAATTAAAATACATGTTTTGCATTTAAACTTACATATCAGTTTTTATTATAGTTCCATCATAAAATTCATATTAGACATAACATAATTCATATGATTTTTACGCTTAAATAGGTATATTTTCACAGGATACTATTTCCACTTAAAATGGATTAAGTTTAGCTCTTAATTGTTCATGTAATAATGGTTTATCACTTTAAATATTAAATTTAAAATCTAGTATTTCCATGATTTTCATTTTAGAGAAGGCAAATTCGAACTTAAATATTAATATATTTATATACACTTGGAGTATTGAGCATTAAACTATAATCAAACTAAAATTCTTGCATAACTTTCATATCATCTGCATTTACAAAATACATGTATAATTTTTTTTTTGATAATACTTCTGCTAATGAATCTATAAATCTTATTTAATCAAAAACTCTTTCATAAGAATAAGTAACAATTGGTGGATCCTCAGGATTCTATTGTGGTTCACTTGAAACCATATTCCATTAATCAATAAGACCTGTATCATATCTCTCTGTATTATTAGCATTTAACCATTCATACATGATTACAATATTTTAGATATTTTATGTAACAACTTGAAATTGAATTTTGAATTGTACAATATTTTTTAAAATACCAGTGCCGTCATCTTCAGATAAGACTAACTTAATATAAATTTAATGTATTTATTACTTCTTTTTTATTATCCTTCTTAGGTGGCATTAAAAATTTATTGTTTTATTTTCAAATTTAATAATAATGAAGTTTCATCAGTTGAGATTAAAGGATGTTTCATATTCTAATACTTAGTTAAAGCAAGAAGATCGTCAAATAAAAACAGAAATTGGAAATTTAAGCACATCTAGAGTAAAACAGGATTCAAATATTAATATAGGCTAAAGGAGCAGTGATAAAACAATTTGTTACAGAAGATAATGATACAGGTAGATCATGTAATAATGAAAAGGAATTATTTAAGAAAATGCAGAATTTAGAATTTTAGAATGGGTTATTTTAAATGCAAATGTAAATTCAATATATTTAAATTTAATAGGTAGCATATTCATAAAAGAAAGAATTTAGAAGATTTTACTATCAGATAATAATTATCATAGATTTAACAAGATATTTAGAGTATTTAAAATAGAGTGTAATCTGTTAAAGTAAATAATGATAAAATGTTCGTTAAGAATAAAAGCAGCAGAAAGAAGATAAACATAAGTTCATCATCAAGCAGTAGTGAAGATGCAAGAGCATTGTCGATTGGGTTTAATTATAAAAATAAGTATAAATTTTATAGAAAAAAGCTAGGATTAAATGCTTTCAAATTATAAAGAATTATTTGAGGTTTGCAATGGACATGAAAAATTAAGTGGATTGTTTTCTAATTATTGTGGAAGCATAAAGACAATAGAAATTGATATAGTTAAATAGAATTTCTAATTACTAATATAGTAATTAATAAAGATGATAATTGATATATTAAGAAGATTTAATTCAATAAAGATAGATTAATTGAAGAATACACCTGATAAATAATAATGTAATTTTGAATTTGGTACATTCAATAAGGAATAAAAAAAGACTTTAAGGACTACTGAGAGTCCATCTTTTAAAAAGAATCAAGATTTAGAAGAAATGAAATTAATATTAAATGATCATTATGATAAATATGAATAAGAAAAAGAGAATAGAGGATAAGATATAAATAAAAAGTAAGATAAAAATGTATAGAATCAAAAGAAATAAATAATTAATACTAATAATAATAATAATAATAATAATAATAATAATAATAATAATAATAATAATAATAATAATAATAATAATAATAATAATAATAATAAATAAAGAATTGATTTAATCCCAAGTCTTAAAAGGAATGCCAAACTTAGATAATAATAACATAATATTTGATAATTTATAAATCAATAATGTTTTGTTGTAACCCATTCCAATTATATATTTAATGTAGTATCTTCTGGATTAGAATTTGGAACAATAGTTTATGTATAGTAACCTTCCACTTAATTTTTATTTGCAAATTCAAATCTGCCAACACCATTAGGTTTATTATGCTAAAATGGTCCTCTATAAACTGTTCCATTTGGATAAATCCATTCTCCATCAACAATCTCATTGTTATTCCAAGTACCTCTAAACTATTAGATATATCATAATAAAATAATACTCTCATAGCAGTGTCATTAAAAACATAAGTACCTTATCCATGTTTCTTTCCTCTTGACCATTATCCTGAATATACATCTTTATTAGAATAAGTGTATAATCCTTCTCCATGTCTAAGTCCTTATTCCCATTATCCATAATATTCTCCTTTATTATTATTATAAATCAATCTTCCAATTCCATGTTTCAAATTTTGTTAGAATTCACCTTCATATCTATCACCAGAGGGATTGTAAGTGTATTTCCCCTTTCCTTCCCTAACTCCATTCACATATTAACCTTCATAAGTATCACCATTTGGATAACTGTTTAAATACAAAACATTTTTACGTAGCTATTCCTTTCCCTGTATAATCCTTAGTTGAATTTGTGGCACTTCCACCTTCTGGTGTAAATGAAAATGGTTATTATTCCTCTGCCATCTTTTCTTTTGATATTTATTATAAATATTAATTAATTACACATAAATTAATGATCAAACAAGAATTTATATGTAGATCATTCATGCATACATTTCTTCAAAAAAAATTAAATCTCCAAAACTTATTTTTCTTACATTCACATTTATTATAAACTCCTCCACAAACATAACAAAATTAAAATTTACACAAACAAGTCATATGATTACAACCTTAACTTTTTTCAACCCAATATTTGCATTAAGGACATTATTTAAACTTTGCTCCTTTTATAAAGCTGTAGAATCTATCATCAAAATATTTTTCATTTTTTTATCTAGACTATGTTTTTTGTTTCTCTTGATATTCTTTACATGAAAATCCATTATGATATTCAATTTTGCATTCTAAACAATATTTTTTCTGACAAACAGGACAATCCAATTAAAAACTCTTTTCTACAATAAAAACATATGTGCAATTAGGAGTTGGGCACCATGAATACTATTAAAATAATTGGTTTTTATACTTAATTTCCAAGACTTTAAACATAAGCTTTAAATGATAATTATTAAAATTCAGATAATTATTTCTAATCTAAAACTTCTATTAAATCTTAATAGATTATTGTCTAATTGCATTAAGAAGGACACTTAATTGGAATCTTTTTATCTCCCATTTAATGGACGCAATATTGATTTAAACATTTCTGATGAAAAATGTGTTAGCAATACAAAGGTGCCATCTCTTTGAATACAATTTTTTCAAGACAAATTTAACAATCGATTTACTTATACTTATCTTCATCAATTATTAATGAGAAATTCTAAGAATTTAGTTTAAAGTTCAACGCTTAAATATATTAGTATTCTTCAAATCTATCAACTATTAAGAATTAATTTACTCTTTCTGCAATTTTTACTTTAATTCATAAATATCTGATTCATTGTTATAATTTTTTAACAAAGTATTTATTTTAATTATTGAAGAATTTTTTTATTCTAATTCCCATTCTGAATTATTTATAGAATTTCTATCCTAATTCTATTAGGGTTGAAGAATTATTTAACTTTAAATGTCTGATGGAATCTATAATATAAAACTCTAGGTCTCTTGAATCTATTCTCCTTCAAAAGAGTTTAAAACTTCACTTTCTAAATCATAACAGAGAGTTTAAAACTAGACTTAAATTTAAAGCATTACATCTTTAGATCCTAATAAAGCATCATTATATAACCTATATATTCTTTCCTAACTGCAGAATTTCTAACTCATAAACGCATTCAAACTAGTAAAGACATCTAAATTTTATTGAAATAACTCCAAAGAAATAGAATTACTCTTGCCTTACAAATATCCTAATATAAATGATGATATCATCAAATCATCTTCCTAAGGGTAGATTGTTATAATAATACATTTTAGTTAACCAATTTCAATTTGTTTAGTTGTTTCAAGTTTCTTATTTCCAACATTAAATAAATATAATCCCATATTTTTTATAAATTTACATTTATATTTAAGGCTTTTAATTAATGTTATTAATATTAAGACTGTACTCGTACAGGATCATGTCTATAGTAGTTACTTACACTTTGCTTCAGCAAATGTAGGCAACCAACCAAGCTAGAATGATTCAGCATGCACTCTGGTCTATAATTAGGAATATGAATCCATTCTATTTCATGGAATGCGATTCGCGATGCCCATCCATATTCGTAGTGCTTTAATATTCTTTATGGGTATTAAAGCCTTCAAATATGTGAAGACTTGAGTGTGTCTGACTAGCTCCTTAAATAAACAAACGAAATTCATATATATATATTTATTTTTACTTAATAATTTGATTATATTCAATCCTTAATCATTAAGGTGATAAAACAAATTTAATAATTTGCTGAAACCACTTTATTAGTTTATAGGATTTTTCATTGTATTTTTTTGTTAAATTTCCAAAATTTTTGAGTTTTTCATATCAACGAAAAAAATTCATATATTTTTATTAAATATGTTGTTTTTAATAGTTCAATGCTCTAATTATATTTGCTAAACTTCCTGTTGTAATTATTAGAATGAATGTTCCTTGAATGATTGTACACATTTTGACTATGTTTATATCACATATAAATTTAGAGAGATACCATTAATTACTTTACATTAGCAATTCAATTGGCTTTTCTAATAATATCTATAGCGATACTTTTTTTATCAAATACTCCTAATTACTAAGTTGTACAACAAAGATAACCATTATGAATGTAATTAATATTTTAAATCAATTATGAGATATTCAAATCAGTTTTTATATTTATTTTAAAGAGTTCTCAAACAATATTATCTCTTTTAAATGGATATTTAATATTCCTTCCTTTTTCCCAAATATTCTTTAATATCTTTTTCAAATTTCTTTTCATCTTCCTCATTAATTTTATTCTCATATTTTTCTTCTCTATACTATTCTAACATTTATATTTTTTTTTCCAATACTCTTGCTAATTCTTTATCAGAGAATGACTAAAAATTTTTTATTCAAATTTACTTTAGCTAATTTCTAACAAAATTAATCTAAAGGATATCCTTCAAATTAAATGTCTGTAAAATGTTACAATTTCGCTTCTACTTCTAACTTTAACTGTGCGTTCTCGCTCATAATTTATTAAATAGATTCTAATCATTTTATATTCTAAAATACCTCCAATTAAATTATTTTATTATGCTCTTTCCACTATCAATTTACAAATTTTTTTATATTCTTCTAATTACATTATAAATGGAGTTAAATCAAGCTACAAATTTTATTAAAATTAGTTTGGGGAACAATTAGTAAATAGTTTTCTTACTTCAACAGTTTAAATTGCTTTTATTTGTTTTTAAAATTAATCATCTGGATTTTTCATCAAATGCTCGATCATATAATCATCCTCAGGAGCTTACGTTGCAAATTGATTCACAATATCCTTCATCATTTAAATAAGTGAGTCATTCCACTTAGCCTTTATTTACCATGTATCAGGATCAATCAATCTATGACTCATTTATTTTGTAGCAAATATTTATGGTTGACTTTTAGGAAAATCATAATGAAAAACTCTATATTAGTTAAATTCTTACATCATGATAGTGATTTATGAACTTAATTCTGCTATGTAAACATCTTAGCCTAAATTTTTATAGAAGTCTAAGTTCAATTTCTTTATATTAAAGTTTATTTAAGCCTCTTATATATAAACTTCTATTTTCAAATCCCTACATAAATCCAAAATATTGTTAACCTTTATTATTTATCCTGCTCATTTTGCTAATTTAGTATTTTTGAGTGATTCTCTATCAAAATTTTGGAAAGAATTTTTGTATCTAATAGTTCTGAATCCATATTGATAATAAATTAATATTATTTATAATTAAAAATAAGTATTTTAAATTCATTTATTTTTTAATTTCTCATTGTTAATATTATTGATTAATGTATTAATTTTAGAGATTATGGGTATCTAATCCTTTGTAAAATCCAATTTTACTATTATAAACATAGTATATTTTTTATGACCTGTTATTCAAAATTATAGTTAGCTTTCAATAAATAAATCTTCCAAATACTTATATATCAATTATAAATTCGATAACATTTATTTTACTTTAATATTTGTGATATTCCTATATATCTGATTATTTTCTATATAATTCTTTCTATTTTAAGTCAAAACCAAAATAATAATATATTTTTGTTTCATAATTATTTACTATTTATTCACCATGGTTTTTAGATTTCTTTAATTTATTAGTACTTCAGAAATTTACTGATTATTTATGATTTATTCATAAAATGTTTTATACAATGAATTATTATTTTAATTACATACAGGATGGATCATAATATTTAATGTCTATCAATAAAGGAATTATAAAATATAATCTTATACCTACTTTTCATGCTCTAATGATTTCTATGTAAAATGATTATTTATTTCTTCTTTGCTAAATCACACATTATATAATCTATTAATAATTTAACAAAATCTCTATCCAATAGAAAAGTATTCAAAATGCTGATCATCAAAATCTTGAGATCAATTGGTTTAGATGAAAGCTTATTTGATTGTTACATTTTAACTGGATAAAAAAAGGGAATGTTTAAACCTTTTCAAATTTATTTATAATATAATAAATAATTTAAGTTTGAAAAAATACAGGTAAAATTTTCTGTAAGCTTTTTCCTTTTATTATTATTTTATATCTTCTTCTATTCAGATTCAACCAGACTTCAAGATCATATTTATTTTAATACATAATTTACATTTATAATTATCATTATAAAATTAACTCATGCTATAAAAAGTTGGGATTTTTGATAACAATGACTTGTTTTCAAGATTTTTTTTATTGAGTTTTCATTATTCTAATTTACTGCTTTAGTATTTGATTTTAATTACTGTTTATTTTGATTAATATTATTATTAATTATCTATTAATAATATTTTTTCTGATCAGATTTTTTCAATACTTCATGATTTTTTGATTTTCCATCTCTATCTAACTCCCATTTCATCTGGTAATCTTATAATTTTATTCTTTTAATTAATGATTGATTCTTATCATTTCCTGATCTTTAAATCGACTCTTTACTATTTGAACGACTAGAGTTATTATATGAATATTTGTTATTTATAAATTACTTAACATTTGATCTATTGTTGGGGAAGCTTGTTTTTAGATTTAATATCTTATTTAATCTTGATTACTAACATTATTAATAATATACATTTTTGGTTTCTGTTAATTAAACAATAATTTTAGAATCTTTTTTATTTGATGAGGATCTGCTGCTGATGCTATAATTTGTTTATTAACTTTTTGGTCGAGATAAATTATTCTTTTCATTGATATGATATTTCTAAACAAATGAAGTTGATCTTTAAGATAATTATTTTCTAAAATTTGAACCAGAAAACTATTTTGATGAAACCTTTTCATTTTCTTTAGAAATTTATATTTTTTCCTATTAAATTTTTGAGTCCTTCATTATTAAATATAGTCTATCTAAAGTTTCCTTAATTATCTAAAATGTTTCATTATTAGATGAGTTGTCTAATGGTGAAATGGAGTTTAAAATTTCACGAGAGTTTTCATAATTTTTGAAAATACATTTCTTCTAGAAAGCATCATGATCATTAACTATTGATAAAATCTCATTTGTATTTTTCAAGCATTCTTTAATATACTACCAATCAAAATTGATTTTATCATTTTTAGATGTTGTAATGATTCCATTTAGCAATGTGGTTAATGCTTATGTTATTTAAATTATATAATAAGGAGGTTTTATCATTAATCTGAGTTGCTAATATAGGTTTCTTTTGTACATTCAGAAATTTATATGTGAACCTATTTCTTAGAGATTATCTCTACATTTCTGTTAATAATAATACTTTATTATAAATTATCAATTTATTACTTAAAAAAAAAATTATCAATGCTCTAGCTTCTAAGAAGTTCAATTTATTCAGCATAATGAAAATGAATAATTGAAAAATAAACAGCTAATTCTGAAATTATTTTAGAAAACAATTTTTTATATTTTTCAATAGTTTTAACATATAATCAATGACAAATTTATTCAATTAATA